TAATTGCTTTAAATTAGGAATTTATTTTTTTCTCTTCGTCTGTCTGAGGAGAAGCTGAGACCACAGAGAAGTCTGGGCCTAGAGTCGTCTTGCAGGAGAGCAGGTACCTTTGCCACGCCTCCCTAGCCTCACCGCCACGTCGTCTAGGAGAGAGGGGAGAAGGAGAACGGCAACAAGAAGCTGCCCCTTCATAGTGCACACACTTTGACACTGAGACTAAACACACCCACACGTTCTAGATGACTGCCGGGACAGGCATACAGGGAGGGAACTGGACAGTGGAATGCCAACCTGGGTGACAAGCCAAGTGGATGCCAACCAGTTGTCTCATGGACCAAACCAGACCCAAAAGCCTCTATATAAAGACAGCCATCTGCCCAGATGCCTCAGCCTGCATGACTGCTCGCCTGTGAGGAGGGTGAGTCCAGGGACTGGGCCTTGGGGTTGGGGTGCGAGTGATGATCCGGGGAGGGGAGGGGGTGCCTGAATTCATAGAGGAGAAGTTGAGAGCAGACGAAGAATGGTTCCTCAGCCTAGAAGAAAAAGCTGGTGTTTTTGTAGAGGACAGTAGAAGGATCCATGAGGGGCTGGTATGAAAAATTGGGCGGTGAAGCCAATGGACTATGCCTTTGAGAACCCGACTTTATCCTCTGTACCCCTTTTCTTCCTGTTCTCCCTGGAAAGATTCCTTAGTAATTGACATCTTGTGAGCAGAGTTGTGTGTAGAATAGTTACCTTCCTCTCGGGAATGGATATTTAGATATTCTCTATAAAGAAGAACAGGAGACTCCCTTCATCACTGAAGGATTTTCTGTTTTCAGCTCAGAGAGAGCTGTTTTGGGGGATGTCTATCGTCAAATTAGCCTCGCTAATTGGCTGGTCTTTCGACTGCCTGCATGGAATGGGTGGATTTGGGGAGGGCAAAGGGTGGAAATTCCCTAGTGTGGTGTTGTTGCTGATGTCTGCTACCAGCAGGCAATGTTTGTGACCAAACTGTGCAGGGCTCTAATTACAGCTGAATGCCAGTCTTGTGATTAAGAGCCCTGCCTCGCAGAGAGGCTGGAGGAAGACATTTTTAAGGCCAGCAGGTTATCATACTTCAAGTCATAATCAACAGTGTACCAACTACCTGGCCAAGTAGGTCCTGAGTCTTTGCAAGGCTCATCTATTTTGCGAGTGCCTGTTTTCATATATGTTCATAGAGCACCTGTTTAAACAACTTTCCCTGAAAAACATGAATGTAGAGAAGCATTTTATGTTGTAGCAGCTGCCAAATAACTGAATGGACCCTTTGTTTCTCAACTAGATGCTTAGACCTTACAGATGCACAGATGATACCTGAGTGCATGTTCTCTTCTCTCGTGTGTGTATATGTGTGTGTGCATTACACATACACATATAATAGTGTTTCAAAACGTTTGAGGAGACATACTATTATCTTTTCGTTCCATTTTCCTTGAACTGTTAGTAGCCCCCTCATATATTGTATTGCTATTCTATGCATAAGGAAATTCAAGTTCTTGTGGGCAAGGAGTCTCCACTTGAGCTTACAGCCTTGGACGCAGGTGTGACCTTCCTGGACTCCCACCACTTAGCCCCCAGTAAGTGACAGGGATCCTCTTGTCATCAGCGCCCTCTGGTGCCAGACACTGGCAGTGTTCATTTCCCAGGCAGAGACTGGACACCTGCTGCCCTGAAGGTGTTGTGTCCAGAGGCTGTGTCTCAGAAGTACACAGCGAGGGCTTATGGTCGTTGCAGGCTGGGCCTCACAGGGAACTGGGTCCAGGTCTTCTCTGCTGTGTGTTTACGGAAATTGATTTGGGTGGAGCTAGAGGTTAGTGGGAGGAAGAAGGATGCCTTCTCTGGGTTTGGCTGCTCCTCATGCAACCGGCTCACTCTTGCTCTTCTCTCCTCCCTCAGGTCCTGCCCGCCCACCTGTGTCAGGATCATGTGTGAACAGCAGTCAGTGCCGTCCTTCCTACCTATCCCCCAGTGCTGCGTGAAGGGTTCCACCTTCTGCCCCTTCCCATCCGCCTGTGCCACAGGCCAGGTAGTGGTCCAGGAGCCTCATGAGATGCAAGTAGTGGAATGCCCAGCACCGTGCCCAGTTCAAGTGTCACAGGTGGCATGCCAGGCACCGTGCCAGTCCAAGACCACCCAAGTGAAGTCCCAAGCTCCATGCCAGGCTCAGAGCACCCAGGTTACAGGCCAGGCTCCGGGCATCCAGGCTTTAGGCCAGGCAGAGAGTATTCAGGCTTCATTCCAACCTGGCGTTTCCTACGTGCCCTGTGAAGCCCCATGCCCCGTGCAGACTTGCTATGTAAAATGTGCTCCAGTTTGTTACACAGACACCTATTACATGAAATGTCCAGTCGAGACCTATGTACCCTACCCAGCTTCACAGCCTGTGCACACATACGTGGAATACTCCCCCATGTGCCAGGCTCAGGGTGGATTCTCCACCCAGGGGCAGTATCAGGGCTCCTATGGTACCTGCGGCCCTCAAATCCAGTCGAGGGCGTCCTACAGTAGCTGTGGCCCCCAGACCCAGTCGAGGGCGTCCTACAGTGGCTGTACATCCCAGTTCCAGTCGCGGGCATCGTATGGCGGCTGCGCCCCTCAGTTCCAGTCACGGGGGTCCTACAGCACCTGCGCCCCCCAGTCCCAGTCGCGGGCGTCGTATGGTAGCTGTGGCCCCCAGTTCCAGTCACGGGGGTCCTACAGCACCTGCGCCCCCCAGTTCCAGTCGCGGGCGTCCTACGGTAGCTGTGGCCCCCAGACCCAGTCGCGGGGGTCCTATGGCGGCAGCTGTGCCCAGCAGCGCCAGTCTCGAGCCTCCTTCCGCACTTGTGCCCCACAGTGCCAGGCCCAGGGATCCTATGGGAGCTTCACTGCCCAGCGCCGGTCCCAAAGCGCTAGCAGATGTCCCCCTCCTCGCCAGCTACAGCCTTCCTACCGCAGCTGCCCCCCGCCCTGGTACCGAGGGTCCCCCTACAGAGGCGGCCTGTCTGCAGGATGCTCCCCGGACTCTTGCAACAACTGCACCCCGCCCCGCTGCTCTGAGCCCATCTACCACAGCAGCTGTGCTGGCAGTCGCCCGTCGGGCCGCTCTCGGAGCTGTGGGCCCAAGTGCAGGATCGAGATTTCCTCCCCCTGCTGCCCAACGCAGGTCCCCCCACAGAGGACCCCGGTTCGGATTCCCCCCATTGGACGGTGCTCCGAGAGCTGCGCACCACGGCCCTCCTATGGTGCTTCCTGTCCAGACTTGAGGCCACGTGAACTCCCAAGATCCAGCTTCTGTCCGCCACCTCGCCGCCTCGACCCATATCCTGAGCCACCAGTGCAGCGATGTCCCATTCCGGCACCCCGTCCATACCCGCGGCCATGCCCAGTTCCTGCGCCCCGGGCATATCCGCGGCCATGCCCAGATCCCCGCCCGTGCCCTCCACCGCGCCGACGTTCAGAACCCTGTCTATATCCGGAACCTCATCCGGAACCATGCCGGGCGCCACGTCCTCGTCCAGTGCAGTGTGAGTCCCCAGAGCCGCGTCCCTACCCGCAGCCTTTCAACCGCTCAGAACCTTGTCCGTGTCCAGAGCCGATTCCTCTGCCGGCGCCCTGCCGGAGTCCTGAGCCCTGTACGGAGCGCCACAGCTACCCCAAGCCATGCCCGGGCCCGAATCCAAGTTCATGCCCCGGGGATATAAGCTGCCATGAATCCAACCCACACCGCCTAGACACTGAGATCCCCAGCTGTGTCTCTGGTGGTTATAACCAGGGCAGTGCCGGCTGCAGATCCTGTGATCTGGGGGGGTACGGAGACCAAGGAGACCACAGCATTAGAGTGAAAGGTGGAGATTGTAGTGGAGCAAAGGGCGCTTATTTTTAAAAGCCAATGTCGCTGAGACATCCCTGCCTCCTGCTCTGAACACGCCGCTACTTCTATTCCACCAGCTGCTTTCCCGAGCTATTCCTGTTTGCAGCTCCAAGATGTTCACGGTCTCCCTACTGCAAGCGTGATGCCCAGGGTCTTTGTACGTCTGTCCTCTCAGGACCCGCATACTTGGTCTGAGAAGTCTCATCAGTCTCGCCTCTAACGCCTCCTCTGCATACAGCCTCGCTTCTCGCCAGACCAGTCTCGGCAACCTGGAGCATTGGGTGTGGCCCAGCCTCTGCTTCCCAGCCTCTGCTCACTCTTTCCCTAGGCGTGGACCACTTCTCTCCTACTCCCCAGCCTCTGCAATCCCATCGTGCAGGTCTCTTTCTTGGCATCTTCTTGGCGCGTTCCATCCCACAGACTCTGTCTGTTCTGACTATAAAGGTCATTGCATTGCCCAAACCATCCACTTAGAAACTGCCTTGCGCCATCAGTTTGTCATTTCTCCATTCAGGTGTGTCTGCTTTACCTGCCCAACTAGATTGCAAACTCCCATTCAAGTGGGGTCAGGCGATGCCTACATTCTTGTGCTGTTCCTGGGGCAAACAGCTGCTCAACAAGGCATGTGGATTGGCAAGTTACGCCATGGTTTGTGCTCATGGGAAAATTCAGAAATTTGAAGCAAGAGGGCCAATGTAACAATATTTATATATACTCAGAAGCTGAATCCCAAGTAATTGCCTGTTCTTTACTCCTCCTTGACTTGCTGGAATAAATGTTCATGTTTATTCATGGTTTTTCTGTTTGTGTTTATTGCACCCCTAGTTTGAGCTTTTCTTCACTTAGACCAGGTGGCTGCCCTATGGTTCTCTTTCTCCTCCTCAGTGGCCTGGCCTCTGTTGGGGAAACTTGGATGAAAAGACAAATCAAGAAAGAACAAAAGAACAATTTGTTCTTACCTCATGGCCCTGCTCAACAAGCCCCCCACCCCCAGGAAGGGAACAGAGAAGATATGGGTGCTATAGCAAAGTGTGGTGAAGAAATTAGATGGTGACCGGCTATCAGATAAAATAGCATCTGGGCTCTTAAAGGTTTGTCTCCAGACAAGCAGCCATCTAAGTGAGATGTCAACTAAGTCCACATGGAAGAAGCACACCATCATCAGTCCCCAAAGGATTGTAAATCATATAATCTGAAGTTGAAGGTAACAGTTTCAGAGCCTAAATTGTGAGAATCCGGTTTGCAGGAGGCTAAGGATGACAGTGGTTGGGGAACTACGTAGGAGATAAGCGTTCGGTGGTCTCCATCTATCCAGAATAGAGGGATGGGAGAAAGTGGTTACTAAAGAGTGCATTGGAGAGATGACCATAGAAGGTCAAAGGATAAACCTGGATTGAACAATTAAAACCTTGCCAGTTGATCCCCCTTCTGATGCATGCTGGACCTGCTCTTTTTTTCAACATTTTCTGTAGTCTTGTTTTTGTTTGTTCATATAGAGCTTCATCTCAGATGTGCTATGTCATTGGGAATCATCCTCTTCAATTCTTGTTATAAGTTTTTCTGTTTATTGGTACCATATATGAAACGCAGGATGATAAGCCGATAGGGACACCGAGTAGAATAAGGGTTTTGGGCAGGGGGGTGAAGTGTACAGTGGTGGTGGTAACAGGTAACTGATGTCAAGGAGTTCAGGAAGGAAAAGAACATTTTGAAACAGATTGTGGTAGCAAATGCACAAAATTGCTTGCCGTGCTTGAACTATGGAATGCTATGATACTTGTATTGACTCCCAATAAATAAACAAATAAACATCTATTGAAAATCAAGTACAAAAGAATGATGGAACGAGGGAATGAACTTGTGGTTTCCAGTTTTCGGGTAACGATATTCAAGCCTGCTTTACACACGACACCCAACTCTGGGCCCATCATCACAGTGATTTGATCTTTGCCGAACCAGAAGTAAGGAAGAAAGGAATTGCTCACTCTTTTTTTGCCCCCGAAATAAGTTATTTAGCTCCTAATTTTTGATGGAATACAAAAGCCTGACTCTGAGGTCCTTGTTTGCTCTCCAAGTCTATTAGGCGCTCTGAAGGAGGAGCTTGGCAGAGGCAGGGGCAACAGCGATGCCTCTTCTTTCACTCCCTGCATACAAGGGGGAACTTCCTCGGAACTGTGTGCCCAGGGAGAGGGTCCCTTCCCCGAGGGAGATGTGCCCCAAGAACTTAGTGCTGTGTAGAGGACAGGAGCTCTTTTCAGGAGGACAGCAGGGCATGGCTCTGGTCCGGGCCCTGGAGGTGTGTGCTCACGTGTGCTTCTGCACAGGTCACAACCACGGGAGGCCTCGCAGCTCATTCGGAACCGCAGGTGCAGGGTCCAGCTCTGAAAGTGCCTTTTTCCTGGTTTCGGGGAGCTACTCCTGCAATGGCCACGTTGGAGACACTGGGGATTATCTCATAAAGACACGCGTGGCCTGATGAAAAACGGAGATCCTTAATGCAAAATCTACTCATTCATTACTCCGTAGACACCTCTGCACTGCTTCCATGGTGGGCAGGCCCAGCAAGGCGCTCTCAGACAGCTTACAGACCAGTTGATATGCTGATGTGCAGAGTGGACACCGACAGCCGCAACATTACCTAGGACCTTGTTGGGAAAAAAAATCATTCTGAGGCATCCCTCCAGACTTTCTGAATCAGAACTTCTGGGAACGAAGCCAACACACCTGTACTTTTATTACCTCACCAGCGCGTGCTCCTGCACCCGTTCGCACACGCCACTCTCCCCCATTCCCCCCCCACCTCACACCACATCTTCAAATTCACCCCACTTTCCATAATGTGGGCATTATTATCATTATCGTGCCATTTTTTTGCACAGTTGGAAGCTCAAGCCCACAGAATTCAAGTGACTTTGCAGAGCCAAAGCAGGGCCTGAACTCCCCCCACAAGGTATCTGTGGGTTCCTTAACCAGGAACCCTGGATGGGGATGGGCTGGCAGGATGGAAAGAAGTCTGTAAGTCTGGATAAGAGATTTCGTGTTAGATCGCTCAGTCATTCTCTTCAAATGCATTGTGGACAAGAACCATCTCAAGATACAGGAAGAAACAGACGTCACTATACAAAGGAAATTCACATCTAAGAAGTTTCCTCCTCACCGAGGCTCAGGGTCATCATGCAATCACTTTCCTGGAATGCATAATATTCGGTGCCTTGTGTTTTCCTTGAGATGGAATACAGTCCCAGGGATAAGCAAGCCTAGATACGGCAAAAGATTGAATAATGGTAGAATAGAAGGACATTTTATTGAGGCAGGCTGGAGCTGAAGCCCTGTTGGCCTGGTGTTCTCACTGATTGGGACTGTGAGGGTGCCAACCTTGGTCCCACCTCATCGACCCGAGGGTCTCAGGGGCTGAACTTCTTTTCTTGGGGGAATAGTTTGATTTGACCTTAAAGCTCCTCAAAATCCACTTACTTCTGACCTTGAGTCTCCAGGGAGGTCCACAATAAAGACGTTATCTCAATATATTGTTACAAAATCACAGAAACTTTTAAAAAAGTGTGAAATATAAAAATATGAAGCTCTCATTTCTTGACATATTTTTCACATAGGTCTATAGATTCAGGTGCATAGACCACCTCTGAGTGGTCCCTGAAGAATTTTGTGCTATTTGACTCATACCACATCAGAAAAGCTCTGTGGCCCCCTTGAGAGCCACAAATGGCATGTTTTTAAATGTTCTTTGACTTTGCGTAACAAAGTGAAGTCTGGAAAGATTGGGACCACAGGACATGTGAGGTAAGTTCCCCACATGTCATTCTCAAAAGAGGGCTCTTGCTACCGAATGAATGAGCAGGTGCCTTGCGTGATGGGAAAACCTTCCTCAGTGCTCACTTCCTGGCCTCGGTGAAACCAATGCAGCTTTCAGTTTTTAAAAAACCTTCTTCACAATAGCAATCCATTATTTTCCTGTGTCCTTCAAGAAAACCTCTAAAGATTGCCTCTTGAAATGGACGGACTTGGGGCTTCTGCTCAAGCCCTGCCTCAAAGCAAGAACACTTTGTTCTAATCTGGCATTCTGTGATGCTCACCCTTCTGGCATGATCGCTGAAGACAAAATGGGTACACAAGCAAATGTGGTGAAGAAAGCTGATGGTGCCCGGCTATCAAAAGAGATCACGTCTGGGGTCTTAAAGGCTTGAAGATAAACAAGTGGCCATCTAGCAGAGAAGCAACAACCCCACACAGAAGAAACATACCAGCCTGTGTGATCATGAGGTGTTGACAGGACCAGGTAACAGACATCAGAAGACCCCAAATACTCCCCATTATCATGACCTAATTCTACCTTACAAATCTGGCTAGACTGGTGAACAAAAATTGGTACAGATAAGAGCTCTGGACACATGGAATTCAGGACAGGTAGATCCCTCAGGAACAGTAAAGGAGTAATGATGTCATGAGAGTAGGAGAGTGGTCAGGGAGGGGCAAGTGGGAGAAGGGGGGAAACCCATCACAAGGTTGGTATATAGCCCCCATAAGGGGATGAATAATAGAAACATGGGTGAAGGAAGACAATGGGCAGTGTAAGGTATGAAATAATAATAACAGTATATAATCGATCAAGGATTCACGAGGGTGGGAGGGTTGGCAAGGGAAGGGAAAAAAGAGAAGCTTATACCAAGGGCTCAAGTAGAAAATGTTTTGGAAATGATGATGGCAACATATGTACAAATATGCTTGATACACTTGATGTATGGAATGTTATAAGAGCTTTAAAGCCCCCAATAAAATATAAAAAAATAAGACCCCAAAACAAAACAAACCATCAAAACATATTGTTGAGAACGAGGTGGGTCAGAGAAGAGACCCAGAACCCATCTGTGGACAATGGGACATCCCCTCACAGAAGGGTCACAAGGAAAGGTTGAGCCAACCAGGATGCAGTATAGCACTGATGAAACACACAGTATTCCTCTGGTTCTTTGAGGCTTCTCACCCTTCCCCCCACT